TAACAGTTAATTATGCTCATTATAATAACAGTTAATTATGCTCATTATAATAACAGTTAATTATGCTCATTATAATAACAGTTGACACAACAAATGGTCCCTACTTCCCTCTGCTTTGCAGCCAAGTCTTTTGTCCACATTTATAAATGTGTTTTAATGAATACATACAATCATAAATAAATATATATATATATATATATGGGATGCCTAACTGTAAATGCAATTTTTGGGTCTTCCCTTTCTGGCATATGTGACGGTGTGGATACACTCCAAGAAGCCTCCCCCTGTGCATATAAATGAAAAATATTTGGTAGCATCGAGTCATAGTCTGAAATTGAAATTAAATAAAATTTAGTTTAAATTTTTAATTATTTTTCAATTCCAAATCGATTGAGAAGATCCGGTTATTCTACAAGTAACATTAGAGTATTAATTTTATCATCAATTACTTTTGCTTTTGTGTCAGGTCTCCCGCATCAACATTCCGCACATCCACCACGGCTCTTATTATAGTATTCTCGTGACCATCCCAGCATACATTATCCAATTGTCTTCTCACTGTTGCACAATAATAATAATAAGAATAACTAAATCACACAATTCTTCTCGACAGATTTCGCTCTCACGTTTCGATCTCGCTCTCGCTCTCACGCTCCGCACATTATTTATGACATAATTTTGCCGCTGTCACGTTCCAACTCTCGAATTCGATCTCACTCCCGCCTCCGCTTTATGTGACTTATAATAATAATAATAATAATAATGATAAATTACAGACACCTCCCCTATTGTTTGAAAATATTTCCTTTAAAAATTAAATTAACGTAGACGGACCTCTATTTTATTATGGTCAAAGTAAGTCAATTACGAATTTTGCTGATGTTAATTGAAATTCTCATATTATGTCTATCTCATCTCTCTCACACATACAAATGGTACCATAGTAATAGTCATTTACCATAACAACTTAAGGACATTTCAGTAAATTCGACAAATCTATTAGTGCATTTGACAATTTTTTTTTTTTTTTAGGAAGGTACATTTGACAATTCATCAAGGAAGGTCTGTGTAGGTTAATTTCATTTTTAAAGGAGGTGCGAGTAATTTTTCAAATCACAAAAAAGATCTATGTAATTATGACAAATTATAAGAAAGGTCAGTATAATTTATTTTACTAATAATAATAATAATAATGTTTTGTATTACATTTCATCATGTTGAATTTTATCACCCTTTATTGATGAGAAAGTTGATGAAATTTAACTAGTGAATTTCACCATTCTGTTTTTTAACCTAAATTTCATTATTTAAAGTAATGAAATTTCAATTCTATGACCTCTTGTTCTCATTGGATTCCAATATACATTAATCATTATTGTATGAGAGACTGTGCCGTTACAATCACATTATGGTACTAGAAATCATTTTTCTCAAAAGGGTATACCCCTAATTTTTTTCCTTCGAAATCATTAACCCTGTAGTGAAATGATTGTCTTGTGTACTGTATAACAATTCATCTTCTGCCCACATGTTAAGCAAGGTTGCAAATTAGAAAATCCTCATTAGGGATGGGTCTCCCTAAGATATCCCGACAAATTTCAAACTACTTTAAACATTGGCCAAATAAATACAAGATTAGAGTTATCATCATTCTCCTGGCTGAAAATCCAACAGGAAGTACGGTTACTTTTAAGAGGGAATATCCGTATCGAACATGCATCGACAGGGGTGGAGGACCTATGCCTTTCCTAAAAGAACAAAAATTAATACTATTATGTGTTTTTTTTTTTTTTTTTGAAAGTTCAAATATGCTATCTCAAAAAAATATTTAATGATATATTGAGGGTGATTCAGTTATTTTATCTATCAAAATATTCCGCCATTTGATGTGCACCGCTATACCAACTTTGGATCTTTGTGCTCTGATTGAATCCCATAGACATAATCAGTCATAACTCAGAATGAGAGATTAAAAGAATTAACTCTTTGTATTGATTCACCCGTGAATTTTTTTATTTTTATTTTTTTACAATTAAGAATCAGAAACCTAGTGTTTTTTTTTATAAAAGAATTAACCCTTTGTACTGTATAGTAATTCCATCTTCTGCCCACATGTTAAGCAAGGTTTCAAATTATAAAATCCTCATTAGGGATGGGTCTCCCTAAGATATGCCGACAAATTCCAAACTACTTTAAACATTGGCCAAATAAATACAAGATTAGAGCTATCATCAATCTCATGGCTGAAAATCCAACAAGAAGTACGGATACTTGTAAGAGAGAATATTCGTATCGAATATGCATCAGGGGTGGAGGGACCTGTGCCTTTCCTAAAAAAACAAAAATTAATACTATTATGTGTATTTGGACCTGTGCCTTTCCTAAAAAAACAAATATTAATACTATTATGTGTTTTTTTTTTTTTTTTTTTTGAAAGTTCAAATATGCTATCTCAAAAAAACATTTAATGATATATTGACGGTGATTCACTCATTTTATCTATCAAAATATTTCGCCATTTGATGTGCACCGCTATACCAACTTTGGATTTTTATGCTCTGATTGAATCCCACGGACATAATCAGTCAGACCTCAGAAGGAGAGATTAAAAGAATTAACCCTAGTGTGTTTTTTTTTTAAAGAATTAACCCTTTGTAATGTATAGTAATTCCATCTTCTGCCCACATGCTAAGCAAGGTTTCAAATTATAAAATCCTCATTAGGGATGGGTCTCCCTAAGATATCCCGACAAATTCCAAACTACTTTAAACATTGGCCAAATAAATACAAGATTAGAGCTATCATTAATCTCAATGGCTGAAAACCCAGCAGGAAGTAGGGATACTTTTAAGAGAAACGAATTTGTATCGAATATGTATGGACAGGGGTGGAGGGACCGAATGTGTAATTTCTTTTTCTTTTTCTTTTTTTTTATTTAAGTTCGAATATGAAATATATTTAATGATATATTGAAGGTTGATTCGGTCATTTTACCTATCAAAATAGTCATCCATTTTATCTGCACCTGTACTAACTATTTTATACTATAATTGTTATGTTATAGTATAATTGCATCAGCTTTTAAACAAAAAACAAAAAACAAAAAATTCCACTCAGCTCCAGAGTCTAGGTCTTCATTCTCTTACTCACTAATTTGGTTTGAACCTTTATGCTTTTGATTGAATCACTAGAGACATAATCAGTCAAAACTCATAAGGAGAGGTTGAAAGAATTAACCCTTTGCAATGATTCACCAGTAAAATTTGTTTTTTTTTTGTTTTTTTTTTTTACAATTAAGAATTAGAAACCCTGGTTTTTTTTTTTTTTTAAAGAATTTCACATTATTCATATTTATTTTAGTTTTTATCTTACTTTGATTGTATATATATATATATATATATATATATATATATATAATTGGTAAGATATTGTATGTATATCAGTTGTATGTGGATTTTTTGTGTCGTGTGTGTCAAGATTTTGGGTTTAAATTTCAAAATCTATGGTTCCAATTTGCAAATGTTTATTTTGATATTAAATGAAAATATTATCAAAATCTATTTGATTCTTATATTTGCTAAGTGTTTTAAGTGTCCTTTTCAGTTCAACAAATCAATATTGGCATTGAATGATTTTTTTGCTTGCCTTTTGATTTGAAAAAAAAATTAAAAAATTTCTTATCCTAGTTGGATTTTTTTGTTTTTCGTCAAATACACTACCCCCTAAAATTCAGCTCCGCCCCTATGTATCCAATATCGAATATTCCCAAATACGTGTCTTATATTTCTTAAATATATTCATAGTTTTAAAATATAAAAAATACCAATACTTTTAGGAGAGTGACGTATTCGTATCAAATATATATCAAATATCAATACTCTCTGATACGTGTCCCATACTTCTTAAATGTGTCTATAATTTTAAATTATATATTTCGACACTTCTCAACACTTCAAAACACATTTTTAATAAGTTTAAATATTAAAATGTAATTTTTCAAACAATAATAACATAGCATAATTGTTAAGAAAAATTCAAATTTTATTAAGTGATAACTAGAGATGCTTATTTTATGCATTGTAAAAACAAATTTTTATATTATATTAATGATTACATTTAATTTCATAATATTTTTAAAAAAATTGATCAAAAAATAATATTTTTATATATATAAACAAAATTTATTAATTTTTTATTGCCGTATCCAGTATCCTATAGCACTGCTATCTTGTTTGTAAAAAAAAAAAAAAAAAAATTGCATTATTGCCGAACCCAGTTCACGGGTATGCTATATTTTTTTATTTCAGTAATGTTCTTTATTGAAAAATAATAATTATAATAATGTTCTTTACACATGTGAAACATTAAATAAATCCAGATGCAACACTATCATTTTGAGCCTCATAATAATGGCGTTGATCGATGGAATTATCAACCATTATTTCGAGCACACTAAATCCAATGCAGACTATTGTTTCCAACCTCAAAATAATGGTGTTCCGAGGTCCTCTACTCAGTTTGTTGCATAAATGTAGCATTCCATTTCTGATTTTATTGTTTTCTACTTGGTTTTCTACTTTGTTTTATTACGTTCCTTATCAATATGCAATACAGTATGGTGAATTTTTTTTTTTTTTTTTGATAGGTAATCCTGTTTAATGCTAAAAATGTCGATCCAGAATGTCTGCAAATTCAAATGCTTATACAAAGATTAAGTCATTTACCAAAGTACCAATTGCCAAGCAGTATCACTCCTTCCTCCCAAAGGAGAGCTTCGGTGGAAAAAAAAAAAAAAAAAAAAAAAAAAGTAGGATAAAGTCATCTAACCATTCTCTCAGATCAACCATCAAAAAATATCACCACCAAAAGAAGCTCTGTACTCCAGTCTCCAGATAAAAATTGCAATCAAAATTTGCATGATGCAATGAAGTCCAAGAAATGACCCCCAAACTCACAATTTAATATAAACTTTACATGTAAGAATGACAATAGAATGAAGGTACCATAAACAATCTCAAAGTAATCAAATCATTAACAAAAACAAAGAAATATGATCTCTACAGAAGCTGTTAGGAAACAAAGAATACAGATACACCACCTAAATGGATTTTATTGTACAAGGGCACAAAATCCTACTGAACACATTCATGAGGCTATATATTTCACAAAACTAAAATTATATGTGGAATATTACAGAGGATCTCAAAAAACAAAAACTTTGGCTAGCTAGTGATCGCTAGGGGATGAACTCTTAGAATGCAAAGTAAACCACATGCACTTATCTTTCATTGCTTCACTCTCACTTGCATACTCTTTGAATCTGTACTCTTCCTGCTTGAATGTAGTAGGCACCTTCCCTTCACTGTAACATTGACTACACAAACTGAAGTGAGATTTCATCTCCTTGAACCGGGAACCGATGATGGGGTAGCGGCAAATTGAGCAAGCATGGCTACCATGGCGGTTTCTATCCCGAGTTTCAAGCTTCAGCAAACTAGACATTATACCGAACCCCCAGTCTGGATCATCAAACATCACGAGAAAGTCTGCTAAAGACACCATTGATGTGTCTGTTTCTCCATGGATTTCTAGTATTTCACTAGCCCCTTGAGAAGGAATATAGATTGTCCTTAACAATTTGATGTACCCTGAGGCATCAATTTTCTTTATCATACCACCACCTTCATTCACAGGCCGCCACAGAAGTGCATCAAATGCAACCCGTTTTCGCTTGTCTGGTGAGCCGCCACAAATGGGAGCAAGAACAGCCAAGAACATGCCCAAATCCACCCTACCTGACTCCGATTCATCCAAAACAGAGAGGATTTTCTGGTTTATAGCTTTAACAGCACCTACAAAGGTTTCAGGCTTCAAGAAATTAAGTAACCTACGCAGTATTTCCTCCAATGCAGCCTTGCGTATTGACTTCAGAGGATCACCACTACCGGAATAGGACACCGGTACATCATTTTCACTCATCTCCTTCTTCAGAAGATCAATATCGCAACGATTCAACCTGGTGATCCTCTGGAACGCCCTTATATCAAGGGCAGTGGCTAATTCCTGCCTTAAGGTAGTCTTCTCACCTACAGTCTTAAATTTTGAGGGTTCCACAATAATAAAGGCCTCCTCTCCATTTCCATTCCCATTTCCATTCGCCTTCAACCTCTTCTTCTGAAGCTGCTTTAAGTGCGATATTGCATCATGCAATTCGACCCTGTTGGTCATCTTCAGTGCTTCCTTCAAAGCTCTCTTAGCTTCATCAGTTTCCCCAGCCCCTAATAATGACACTGCCTTGTTGAGTTGTGCTCGCCAATGGTTTGGCCACACACTCAAAACCCTAGTGTACATCTCCGAAGCTCTCTGATACCTACCCACATCCATATAAAGCCCACCCAAATTATACAAAGCATCAATATGACCAGGCTTCAAATCAATAGCTTTCTGGAATTCCTTAATTGCATTCTCATCATCAGCCATAGCATGCAAAGCTGAAGCCAAGTCACAATGCGCATCAGCATAGTCACTTTTCATGTAAATAGCCTCTTCTAAGGCCTTCACGGCCGCCTTATATTCGCCTACCCCGAAAAGAGCACTACCCAAAAGTTTCAAAGCCCTAAAATGAGTTGGACAAAGAATTGCAGCCTCTCTATAATGTTCACAGGCACTAATAACCATACCTTCGCCTTCAAGAGAAATTCCCAAATTGACATGAATTTGGGGAAGCAAATAAGCCCACTGGTTCCCACCGGCCTCGGCCGCCTCCAATGCCAACAGAAACTCCTCTTTAGCTTCACTATGCCTACCCAGAACATACAAGCAATTCCCAGCCCTGAAATGTGGTCTCACATCAGTTGGTTGCAACTCAGAAGCTCTCTTGAAACTCACCAAAGCCTCCTTGAACAACTGGTGCTCATATAAAACTCTACCAATTGCCATGTGCCCATCAAAAGCCTCTTCTCTTGACCTTGCCCCATCAGCTCTGGACCTCAACACACCCAATTCCTTCACAAACACAGCATAATCATGTCCAGACTCTTCCCAGAAAACCCTTTTCTCTGAAATCTCTGAAGATGGTCCCAACTCTCTAGACCACCCAGGGTCAGAATACACATCAAAGTTGTCACCTTTCATTTTCCCATCTTTCGATTGCTTCGCCTTCAACCTCTTGATCAAAATCTCCAAATCATCCACGATCTTCCACGTATCGTCGAACACGATGCCGTGATTAGGCGACGCCGCCCAGGCCGCCGTCCTCTGCTTCTTGTGAGGCTCCACAACCCTCTCGTCCGCGATCGAAGACGACGACGCTTCTTCGGAGGCCATCGAAACTCCGTTGGTGTTGTCCTGTTTGAACTCGAGGCCGAGCGCATCGAAGTCGCGGTCGACGTCGCCAGCACCGTCGTCGTAGGTTCGCAACAGGCCATCGTAGGTCAGACCTTTTTCTCCGTCGATGAATTCGCCGTAGGTTCGGAAGACTTCGTCCAGAATTGCGTTGATCTGTTCGTCGCTGAACTTGACCCTAGGGTTTACGGCAACGACGAGAGCAGCCATTTCATCTCTGTTGAGGCCACCGTCTCTGTTGGCGTCGAATTGTTGGAAGATTCTCTTCACCTTCTCTGATCTGCTGCCTCTGGTTGCCATTTCAAGATTTAGGGCTTTCAATTTTAGGGTTCGGGTTTTTCAGAAGAGTAGTAGATGAGAGAAGACGATGATGCGAGTGTACAATTGGAGCAAAAGGGTTGGTTGTAATGGGTATTGGGGGTACAGAATAAGAACCCTAAAATTGAAGATCAGAGAAGAGGTTGAATTTGGGGCAAACTGTTTGTTGATGGCTTATTTTTGGGTGGTTAACTTATGTTATCTTGTTTTCATTGGATCTGATAAGAGAAAATGGAAAGGAGACAAGAAAAAAAGGGATTCTTTCGCTTTCTCTTTCTGCTCATTAACACCCTTTATGATGAACTCTCTCAAATATAATTCAAGTGGTAAGCCCCATGGCCTTTTTTCCCACACAAGATAATCCTTAGATATATGCATATATATTATTTATATCACTTTTGTCTTTTTAACACTATTTATATAACTAATAAACTATGACAATAAAATTTCTTTTGAAAATTGCTGTGAAGTGATAAATTCTACGGTTAATAGCACGGACACCTTTAAGGTTTCTATAATTTGCCTAAATGACACCTTCATGAAAGCATTGTCCAATTGCCTCCACACTCCTAAGGTTTGCTATATCTGTTTAACATACAACAGTAAATAAATATTGGGGGTGCGTCGTGCACGCCATATTATTAGTACACTCACTCAATCAAATTTAACATATTATTTCGTTGTCAACAATTTTTTAAGTAAGTGGAACAACTTTTTTGAAATAGTGCATTGTCATTGAGTATGTATATACTAATGACGTGGCATACAAGAGGCACCTAATATCTACTCCCAAAACTGTGAAAGCCTAGAAATATACATGCCCAATTGAGATGTGACATATCTGTCAAGATTCAAGATTGTGGTCTTATAGGTTAGAACGACAGAACAAAATGGATTAGACCTAATACAATTCCAAATAGAAAAATTTTAATCATTTAACATACACAACCCCTACCATACTGGATATCGTGTTAGACACATGGTAAAATGACCAAAATGCCATTTGACTTGTGAAATGGCATTTTGTATGTTTGTCCACTAAATATATATAAATATCCCCCCCGCCCCGCCCCGAGGTTAAATTGATAGGAGACCAACACCTCCAAGTACCGCCTATGGAAAATTTAACTTCACCATAATGTCGAAAATATCCCAAAAACAACGTTTTAACCAAGTATTGACTCTAGAGGGGGGTTGAATAGATATGTAATTTGATATAAACAACTTATCTAATTGTGCAATAAGATAGATAATAAAAAGTAATAAAAGCACAATTGTTAATGAGACAAGGGAAGAGAAATTGCAAATTATGATGAGCTGAGTTAGCGCGGTTCGGAAACCGTGCTCACTACTTGCCATTACCACATATATCATACTTGTAATCTTATCACGGATAATATGTTTCCCTTTCAATAAACAATTTAGCAACCAGTCACGTAGTCCGTCAAACATGCTTTAGAAAATGCTACTTTCATTCCTTAATCATATAAATAATTTACACGTCAGCATTCCATATACATGCTTCTAAATTTCATACACCTTTCATTTACATAGCCATGCATCTAACATATATCGACATTTAAACACTTAGCAAGTAAGTATGCTTCTCAAAATAGTAAACACTTAAACACAAAACATGCAGTCAATGCAAGTCAACCTTTTACCCCGTCTAGGAAAGCCACTACCCATCGTCCTAAAGGTATTTGAACCATACTCTAAGACCAAATATGTAACGATCCAAACCTGTGGGTCTGAAACATCAACCGGGTCTTCACCCGAACCCGAGGTCACACAAGGGTAATATGGTCATTTCAAGATACGTGAGAGGAGTGGGTTAACTCTAAATGAGTCAAAGGATATCCATTTGTTCATCACAGCCATATAAACCCATTTCTCCTGGTTCAAGATGCAAGGACAATGTTTTCACACAATTAGCTCTTTCCGGTTTAGAAGATTTCCGAAGCAGTCCGCACTAAAATGGTCATAACTTCCTCTACAGTTGGAATTTTTAAGTAGGGTTGGTATCATTGGAAATCGGACTAAAAATCCTTGAATTTAGACTCAAATTTGACCCAATTTGGTTAAGAAATAAAGGAGATATGACTATTTGAAGTTGGGTCAAGACTGTAGGTGACTGAAAGCTTCAGTCGGCAAAAACTAAAGGATTAGCCAATTGACAGTGAGGGTCAATGTAATGACCTGGTCTTTTTCCTCCTTTTTCCTTTTTTTGGCAATTTTCCTATTTTGTCTTTTTCCTATTTCGTCTTTTTCCCGTTTTTCATTTTTCCTTGCATAACCTCACTTGCTGTGCTCAAATCTGATTCCGGTTTTACATGCATCCATGATATTTGATTTCCATGACATTTGTATTTTACTTTTGTAGAAAATACATTCTAGTTGCTTACTTTTTCATAAAGGGCATAGATACATTCATTATTGTAATTATTCCTTATTTTTGGGGTTTTTGTGTAATTACATAAAATAATTATTTTTCGTCTTAGGGACCTTTTTACAATTTAATTTGTAAGATATTTTGAAAAAGGACCTTTTGTAAATTTTGGAAAATGTGACAAGTGTCACAATCTCATGGTGCCACTTGTTGGCAATGGGGTAGAGTGATTTGGATGTGTAATCTTTTGACATTTTGAGGGTGGAGATTCACCCACATGTTGGCCTAGGATTGGTGCACTTGTTCGCTTGGATGGTTGACAAGTGTAGGCTTAGGATTGAACCTAGGAAAGAGCATTAGATTTGTGACAAGTGTAGGGTCATGATTTAGTCTTGCATTGTGTATGTGTGAGAGTTAGTGTAAGAACACATAGTGAGTGGAGGATTTCTAGCCCTTCCACTTACCATTTCACACTTTATCTTTTTCATTTCACATGTTCTTCAAGAACCCTAGCCTAGCCACCATTGGAGAAAAGCTTGGTTAATAGCTTTGACTTCATTTTTGGCCTCCTTCCATTTACCCTAGACTTAGAACCTTGGAACACAAAAGTTTACCCTCACTCTCCTCTTCATTAACCCTAAACTTGTTTTCCATTTTGAGCTTAGTTACTTGGATTATAGAGATTCAATTCTCTATTGAGGTAGAGGTGGTAGTATGTTTATATTCTAAGTGTTTTAAAATCCTTTGAGGTTTAATATATATTGTATACATGCTTTTAGAATTGTACTATTGCATACTATAGGAAATCCTTATGATTGACTTAGGATTTTATTGATTAAGCATGTATATTGTGTATATATCTTGAGTAGGATTGTTGATGTCGTGTAAAACTTTTATTGACTTGAATCACTATACTATTGTGATGTTAAGCCTACATTATAGTAGATTACTATTGGTAATTATGATTGTTTTAGAAGATTATTGCTAAAATGCTAAGGTTTAGTATATAAAGCTTGTTGTTGAGGCATGATTTAAATTGATAAGCTAGTGGTATTGTTTTGCATATCTTATCATGTTAAAGACTTGTCATGTATTATGCCATTCTAGACTTGGAACCCTAAGACATGGTTAGTGTGGTTTCAAAATGCTTGTGCATGGGAGGTGGTATACATGCCTTAATATTATGTATAAGTTTTGAACTTAATGTATTTTGGATTCTCTTGGGACATGGTTACAAATGACATAGCTAGAGTTTGGCTCTAGTGTGGGAGGTATGAGTTCCCCCCAATTGAGATAGTGCACACTTAGGGTGGTCTTCCCTACAGGTTAATGCCCGGAATAATCGTTGAGGTCTCGGCAGAATTCCGAGCTTAGGTGTCCAAGGATTCCACTTTTTGATTTCGCATTCAATTCCAAGTTGACAATCAATGTCTAAGTTGTAACTTGTAATTTTAGTTTCATGCGATTTGATGTTGTTAAGTACATCCATTTTGATATTGTGTTGCTAGATTCATTTAAGTTAGCTTAAGATGATCCCTTAGAACACCTTGAACATAGATGTTAAGTAGGATGCTCCCTTGTATTCGTCTATATTAATCTTGCAATGATATTGAAACTTTAGGGTATACGCATATGCTTCTTCCTACGAGTAACTTGATTACTCACCCTAATGGTTTCGGTTGTTTTTCAAGTAAGGAGACTATGTTCTAGGATGTTCATCATCCTTAGAGGCTAATGAACAATTTGGAACATTTTTGTATATTGACATGTAAGTGTTTAGCATGCTTAACTTTGATGTCATATTTTGTATACCATGGGTGTATGGTACTTTAAAAGCTTATGTAGCTTTCTTGACATGTAATGGTACTTAAGTATTCACTTTGACATTATAAACATGTATGTATTGAGGCCAAGGGCAAAACATGATTGCTTTTGTACTTATACTCTTTTGTTATCAAATTTTTGTTTCAAAATTATATTTTTAACTATCTTGGAGATTTGCTACATGAAACTCTTGTAATTGACATGTTCATATGTTCAATCTTCCTTAAAATGAATTAATTTTTGATCTATGCATGTGGGTAGAATGCATCCCATAGGTTCCATTGCAATTCCGTATGTTTGGAGGAGCTTTCAGCAGTATTTCGAGGAGTTTCAGTCGACCGAAACTCCATCTCGGTCGACCGATCCCTTTTTGAGACCAAATGAAGAGTAAAAACCAGCCTTCAAAAAATATTTTGTGAGTTCCGGTCAATCGAAACTCTAAGTCGGTCGACTGATCCCTTTTGTGACCAGTTTCGGTCGACCGAAACTCTAATTCGGTAGACCGAAATAGCCCCTGTGCACTACAGCTTCCAGGTTTCATTCCAGCATTGAACATCTAACTTCAAAGGTCATATCTACTTCGTTCCTTATCCAAATGGGGTAATTCTTGAGCCTAAACTCAAGGATTTTGAGTCAAATTTCCAATGATACCTATGCCATTCTCAGATTCCAAACACATTAGAAGTTATTCATGTTTTAATAAAGTAGTGTCAGTTTTTACTTCAACCGGGAAAGGGCAATTTGTGGGATTCTTAGCCAATGTTCTTAAAACCTCTTGGAATGTCTTGAAATAATTAGATTATGTTGTATTCACCTTGTTTGACTTATTTAGAGTCAAGTTTCTCTCTTTAATTGTGAATTGACCATTTTACCCCTCGGATAACGATTTTTGTCCTTTTTTACCCTTGTTTCCGCTTTTGCTCTCTTTAAGTCCCGTGATCTCATCAAAGGTCACATTTGTGTCTTAGGAGTGATTCCTATCTCTTAAGGCCTTGGTTTATCATTTGCTTCTGCATATCGGATCCATTATCGGATTAACTTTCAGTTCATCACTGACGCACCGAGTTGAAAAACTTGGGCCGTCACAAAAGCCGGTTAAAATGTTGTTCCAGCATAGGATGCTCTCTGTTTTGGCCATCAATAG